TCTTGCTCAAGCCCTTGCTGATGTTGTCTGATTCAGTGGGCTTGAGCATGCACTGGCATTCTGCCAAGGTGGAGCCCACAAGGCAGCTGGCATCATCTCCTCCTCCCGAGGAGGCCACAGCACCAGACGCTGCACACTGGAGCCCTATGACCTGGCTGGGGACCTACTTGCTAGCTTGTTTGCTTTTTGGAGCTCAGCCAGGAAGTCGTAATCAGATCTTAAACAGGCATTTCTTTGAGTCTCTGAATGGTTTGCAGCTTTGGCCCTCTTACTATATTCTTTTAGTACATATTTTATTGCCTTCTACATTCCAGGGAATGTGCTAGGCACTGAGGGAAGAGTGGTGAGAAAAGAGCAAAAGCAAAAAAAAAAAACCAGCCCCAGTCCCTCATATGTTGTACTACCAGTGGGGGAGAAGCATTAATTGAATAATCACACTAATACATATATAATTACAAATTATAAATGGGCTACAAGGGAATGTTTCAAAGGGGAAACTGATCTAGCTCAAATTGTCAGAGAAGGTCTCCATGAGAAAAATAGCATTTGATCTGATAACCAAATGATGAATAGAGAGTAGGCACTCAACACACATCTGTAGAACCTGATTCTTCCCCTAGAACATGGGTGGGGAACCTGTGGCCTTGGGACCACATGTGGCCTTCTGGATCCTTGAGTGCCTAAAAAAGGGATTTGTTCTGTGAAGTTTGGATTCAGTTAAGGGGCGGCACTTGAAGCCTAGAAGCTTCCTTTTAAAATTTGGATCCAGACAGAGGTAGAGAAAACAGGGAGGGAAAAAAAGCAGTGGGCAGCTACAGCAGAAACTAGAAATTGGAAGACCTCCTGGGTTCTAGACCAGAATCTGGCATTGACAGCCTATGTCACTTGCTCTCTGTTTCCCACCTATTTATAACACTTTGAAATGAGATTGGCTCAGGGTTTTCCAAAGCAGGTACATGTACCATTGGTACTAAGCAAGATTATTTTAATTGACACATGTTTGCATTTTAATAGTTGTCTATTTTAATGTGAATGCAAATGATCCAAATACCATATTAAAATCCATGATTTCAAAAACATTATTGCTCAAGAAAAGGTTAAAGTAAGTAGTCCTGGGACTTCCACTTCCTGCATCAGTGGAGTAACAAGAACCGGAATTATCTTCTCATAGTAAATAACTAGAAAACCAAAAAGACATATGAAACAACAGTTTCAGACACAGCACAGCATGCAGAGCAAGGCTGGATGCCTGAGAGAAGGATAAGAAATGAGATGGGCCCTATAATCACCCCACCTTCCTGCCTGGAAGCAATATCCGTACCAGAGGGACAAAGAGGGAAAAACCTAACCAGAGCCCATCAGCTTATTGAGTGGAGAAAACAGAGATCAGAGTTCAAGAAGGTCAAGGCAGCTAGAAATTACAAGCTATAATTCTGCAAAGGCTAGAATTGCGGCACTGATACCATATGTGGAAGTAAAAGCACAAAAGATGGGGAAATGAAAGTATATTTCTGTTAGGATTTCAGATCATACACAATGTGGTATAACATTATTTGAAGATGGGTTGTGATAAGGTAAGGATGCAATAAACTTTAGTGAAATCATTAAAATATTAATACAAAGAGTAATAGCTAATAAGACAATAGTAGAGATAAAATGGAAATCTCAAAATTACTCAATTCAAAAAAAAGGCAGGAAAAGAGGAGAAGGCAAACAAAGAATTAGGAGAGTTGAATAGAAAACAAATAGCAAGACAGTAGGTTTAGATCCAACCATACCAATAATCATGTTAAATTAAAAGGATCTAAACATTTTAATTAAATAACAGATTGTGAGACTTGGTAAAAACACAAGACCCAACGGTGTGCTAGCCACAAACCTACAGATATAGTTGAAGATTTCAAGACTCCACTCTCATTAATTGCCACAACAAAGGAACAGAAAATCGTTAAGGATGCAGATGATTTGAACACTGATCTAGTTGATGGGCATAGAACACCACACTGGAAAACATTCTGTCCAGATGTATATGGAAAATTCAACAAAATAGTCTATATACTTGTCCATATAACAAGTCTCAACAACTTTTTTCAATGTGACATCATACAGAGTATGTTCTCTAGACACAAAGGAATTATATTAGAAGTCAGTAAGATAACAGTATCTATAAAACTCCCCAAATAATAGAAAAATTAAGAGCATAATTCTAAATAATCTGTAGATCAAAAAAGAAATCACAAAGGAAATAAGAAAATGTTTTAAATTAAATGGAATCTTTATTTGTTTTGAGACAGAGTCTTGCTCTGTCTTCCCAGGCTAGAGTGCAGTGGCATCATCATAGCTCACTGCAACTTCAAACTCATGGGTTCAGGTGATCCTCCTGCCTCAGCCTCCCATGTAGCTGGAACTATGGGCATGTGCTATCATGCCTGGCTAAGTTTTCTATTTTTTGTAGAGACAGGGTCTCACTATATTGCTCAGGCTGATCTCAAACTCCTGACCTTAAGCAACCTTCCTGCCTCAGCCTCCCAAAGTGCTAGGATTACAGGCGTGAGCCACCCCTCCCCCAGCCAGAATTAAATGGAAATTTTTTTAAATACCAAAATATAAAGCTTCTGATCTTCAAAAGACACCATTAAGAAAATAAAATGGTAAAGCAGAGACTGAGAGAAAATATATGCAATACTAAGGACTTACATCAAAATACACAAAGAACTCTTACAACTCATTTATGAAAAGATGGCCAGGCTCAGTGGCTCATGCCTATAGTCCCAGCTCTCAGCAGGCTGAGGCAGGAGGATCGCTTGAGCCCAGGAGTTTGAGGTTGCAGTGAGCTATGATGACACACTGCACTCTAGCTGGGGCGACCTTGTCTCGAAAAAAAGAAAAAAAGTATGTGAAGACAAAAAAAAATCAATTTTTAAAATGGGCAGAAACTTCACAAGAAAAGATGCGAAACATAATTAGTCACCAGGTAAATGCAAATTAAAACCATAATCATATACCACTACGTATCTGTTACAACACCTAAAATGAAAGACTGGCAATACCAAGTGCCAATGAGAATGGGAAGCAAGTGGAACTCTTATTCATTGCCAATGGGAAAACAAAATAATACAATCACTTTGAAAAACAGTCTGGTCCTTACTATATGACCTAGCAATTCCACATCTAGAGAAATGAAAACACATGTTCATCCAACAACTTGTATCTGAATGCTCACAGCAGCTTTATTCATAATTGCCCCAAACTGGAAACAACCCAACATCCATTCAATGGATAAACAAATGGAGCTATATCCTTGCAATAGAGTACTACTCAGCAATAAAAATGAATAAACTATTGATACATGTAACATAGAGGAATCTCAAAAACATGCTAAAAGAAACCAGACAAGAGCATATGCCATATGATTTCATATGTATAAAAATTCAGAAAAAGAAAGTCTTGTCTAAAGTGACAGAAAGCAGGTTAGTGGTTGCCTAGCACCTGGGTTGGAGGTGACAGATGGACTGGAAAGGAACACAAGGGAATATTTTGGGGGGATGGAAATGATCTCTATCTTGATTGTGAGGGTAGTTACATGGGCATATAAATTTGTCAAAACTGATAGAAAGGTACACTTAAACTGGGTGCATTGCACTGTCCATAAATTATACCTCAATAACATTGATTTTTTTTTTCAAGTAATGGGCCAGAATGGCAGGAAATTACTACTTCTGAAAGCAGACCGAATTCAGGAATAATTTCCTCCACGATAAGACCAGCACACTTTCATCTAGACAAAGCTGATGGCAATACTTACAGCTCTTGGGAACAAAATGATGATGCACAAATTGTGAATAATGGCAGTCCTCTACCATCGTAAATGATTTTACGGGTTGGGTGCACATTAAACTAACTGTAACCAGAAAATGAAATAACGTAGTTCTGTGATGACTCACAGAAGTATATGAATTATAGCCACAGCTCTCTGGCGAGCTCAGAGGCTCTTGTGCATATTTCATACACGGTTATGGCGGACCATAACTTCATGGTGTTAGAGCCAGTACAATGATACAGATTTTCAGAGATGGTACTTCCCAGGAAAACAGCAAAACATTACTCGTTGACCATAGTTCAGTCTGCAGTTAGATATCTTTTGCCTTTTCTGATTCTTGATGCTGGTTAACATTAAAGAAAAAAAAAGACTCACTCTCTTGACATAGAACTTCACCTTTCTCTTAAACTAAATGACATGGAGCAAATATCTCTTTGCTTCTGACTGATCATAAACTATTCCATTCTTCTCTTAAAGAAGCTTATTTTTAGTTATATATTTCATGCCTTGCTTAGACTTAATTTTTACTTGTAGTTCATTGGTTTGTTAAAAAAATTCAATAACATTTTTTTATGTCATTTTTTTTTTTTTTTTTGAGACAGAGTCTCGCTTGTTGCCCAGGCTATAGTGAGTGCCGTGGCGTCAGCCTAGCTCACAGCAACCTCAAACTCCTGGGCTCAAGTACTCCTTCTGCCTCAGCCTCCGAGTAGCTGGACTACAGACATGTCCACCACGCTCGCTAATTTATATATAATTAGTTGGCCAATTTTTCTTTCTATTTATATTAGAGACGGGGTCTCGCTCTTGCTCAGGCTGGTTTCGAACTCTTGACCTCGAGCAATCCGCCCACCTCGGCCTCCCAAAGTGCTAGGATTACAGGCGTGAGCCACCGCGCCTGGCCTTTTTTATGTCATTGAATTTTTTTTTTTTTTTTTTTTTTTGAGACTGTCTCGCTCTGTCTCCCTGGCTAGAGTGCAGTGGTGTCATCATTGCTTACTGCAACCTCAAACTGCTGGGCTCAAGCAATCCCCCCTGCCTCAGCCTCCCAAGTAACTGGGACTACAGGCATGTGCCACCATGCCCAGATTTTTTCTATTTTTTTGTAGAGACAGGGTCTCACTCTTGCTCAGGCTGGCCTCAAATTCCTGAGCTCAAGGGATCCTCCCACCTCAGCCTCTCACAGTGCTAGGATTACAGGCATGAGCCACCATGCCTGGCCTCATTGAATCTATTTTTATGGGAAAGTGAGACTTGTTTTCTATTGACGGTAGTGATAGAGAGTGATAATGATGTCTATTTTCTTGGGACGTAATGTATTTTAATGAAAAATAAGTCAGTTTAAAGAAAAATATTACTACAAGCAATAAGCATATGGTAAGAATTGTGGTGGTCCTGCTCCAGTGTCTGAGGTTTGGGAAAGGCTGGTCCCTTTTTGGCTCTGGTGTTTTATTGCTCTGTGACAGCAAGTGTATAGGCTCAGCTATGGCATCTCCATATGATGGAGCAGGGTCAGTGTGACTTGCTGTATGACTTGGACATGTCACTTGTCAAGTCAAAACCATCTGATCCCTATAACCCTTTCTGGCCCTTGCATCTCATGACTGTACCTCAGTCCCCTCCTGTTGGCTTTCCCAGGTTCCCTTTACTCCTCTGCACAGAACATACAACTTTTCTAATTCTCTGGGACTCAATTTCATTTCTATTTTGAGTTCCCAATATATGGAGGAGCCAGAACCTACATTGCAGGCCATGTAGGGTCCTCTGCACTCTGCTTCCTTCCCCAGGTTATATCTAAATGACACAGGGCTTGGGTTGCCCAAGCTGGTGAGAGGGGAGCATCTGGTACTCGAGTCACCTGCCATACAGGCAGCTCTTGACCCATCCACTGTCCAGTACGCTCTCAGCCAGCAGTCAGCCGAGCACATCCCCAGCCCAGGCCTTGGCTCCTTCACATCCAGTGGCTCTGTGGCCACTCTCGTGACACCACCAGGCTCTGCCTGCCTGGACACAGCACCACATATCCATTGCTTTCTGACCTTTTTCAACTACTCCCAAACACTGCTTTTGGACCCACCATTGTTGCCACTCTCAATATTTTCCCCCTCTCTTCCTTTTCCTAGCACAGAGGATTCCTTTTGCTAATCTCCGTGATAAGTAAAAATCACAGCGGAAAATCACTTGGCATTTTTCCCCTCAAATGTGCACCTTCTGTGTTGAAGTCTCCTTCAGGAAAAGTTGGCATCATCTCCCCAGCAGGGTTAAGCTTTTGGAAATACACAGGCAAGAAGTCCCACCACAAACCTTTCCAAAGAGGAGAAGACAAAAGGAGAAATGCCAGGGAAGAGAAAAGGAAAAATACCTGAAGAAAAACAAAGATGGGTAAGTAACATCTCAAAACATTATCCTACCACCCTGCTAGCCTTAGCTCAAATCATTCTGCCTTTGCAACAAATGCCTGAGGCTTCAAATATCACCAGAAGGATTCCAGAAAACCTGGAAGGAGATAGTGGCTCCCTCTTGCCCTCACTGGCAGATATGCAGAGATAAGGTAAGAGTCTTTATGGCTCATAGAATGCTTAAGACGTCATCAACATCTAGACAAATATTAATAACTACTATGAGAGCATCTCAATTCATGTATGACCCCATTCCACCCTTGCAAGGCCACTGGGCAACAGATAATATAAAAAAAAACCATTTTACAAATAAAAAATTCCAGACTCAGAGAGGTTACTTGATCATACCTGCCTTGAATTTGATATCAACCACAGCAGGGTTCAGGGATACAGACAGATCCTTGCATTCCTGCTAAGGCCACCATGCCCCAATGCCCCACTTCCAATATTGCTGGCCTCAACATCACAGAAGGTTTATGAGAACCATTATAAGGAGGTGGCTATAACTAAATGCAATTATCCGCCTCCTGAAGAGGACCCACAAGGAGGATAACCCCATCAAGCCCGCTGTCCTTGTTTTACCTTCCAGGTTATTCCAGGATCTCATCCCCAGATAAGTCTCTTTATTAAGCTCTCGCTCCTGTCCACCTTCTAAAATCTCCTGTGCATGGCCCCCTCTGGAACTCGAGGTCTGTCATCAGGAAGATCCCTATATACTTACCCTCTCCTCTAAGCAGCCCTCATCTTCTGCCTCCCTGCACCATGGCTATTCCCTCAGGACACTGCTCCCCCATAGCCCTCTTGGTAGTGGTCTTGTTCTCTCCTGTGTAAACTCCTGTGAGCTACATTCCACTGGCCTGGAGGAGGCGCTCTCATTGCTGTTGGCAGACTATTATTCCTCCTACTTTCCTTAAAACAAAGCAAAAGAAAAACAACAACATAACGATGAACTGAATCCTCGGAAGCATGTGCCACCAGACTGTACCCCTCTTTCTTGTGCGGGTAGCTGCTGGCCTCCTCCTTGTTCCCTTTATTCATTGAAAATTTAAAAACCTATCTTATGGTCTCTCCCACCCCCACTTCTGACATCTTTCTTGATGATGTAACATCTTCTTAAATGACCCATCCACACCCAGGCTTCTTTGTTTCCTGGTCCCTCCCCTTCAATGAACTTGACCTCTCCTCTAGCTTAGCAACCCACACACAGGCACACCCTAGGCTTCATCATGACCAAAATCTCCAAAATCTCAATTTCAGACATCCTTCTCTGGAACCCCTCCCATCTCTCTAGCTCCTTTCCCAGGCACCTGAGCAGGTGGCTGGAGAAATACCCACATCCTTGCTGCCTGGCCTCACTTTAAGTTTATGATCACAAAGCTCCAGAGCCAGTAAGCTAACAACATTCTGCTAGCCATTTCGCTCCCCACTCTTTCCTCCACAAACCTCCAAGACCCCCTCCCTGGCCTCACTTTCAGCAAATGTCCTTCTTTTTGTTTCACTGAGCAGCATCTGGCAGCACTGCTCCCTCCCTTCTCATCAGGAGCTCTTTCCTTGGCTTCCAGGATACCACATTCTTTGGGTTTTTCTCCTTCTTATCATCCCCCTCCTCAACCCTTGGCTCAGCGGTTCTCTCTCTAACTGTACTCATTCTCTGGATGTATGGATAGACAGGCACAAGGCTTTCTATAGTATCTATATGTTAGTGACTCCCCATTTAAACCCCTAGCCTCTGAGTCCACCTGTCCTCCTTAAGATACAGACTCATGTATCTAATTGCCTACTTGTTATCTCTACTTGAAGGTCTACTTGGCAATTTAACATGTCCAAAATGTGTTCACTTCTCCCTACCCAGAACAAAATCTGTTCCTCTCCTGTGTTCCTCATCTCTGTGAATGGAACCACCATTCACGCAGCTGCTCAAGCCAAAAACCATGTAGGCATCTTCGACCCTTTTCTCTCTCACTCAACTCCAATCCATTTGCAAATCCTGTTCTGCCTTAAAAAAAAAAAAATTCCTAATTTGGCCCTTTCTCCCCACCTCCTTCCTGGCCATAGTAGTCCAAGTCACCATTGTTTATCCTGGAGACTCTGGCAAGAGCCTCCTAACCGGCTTTCCTGCCTCTACTGGGACCTCTCTATAGAGATTCTACAATAGAGCTCTCCAAAAAGACCCCAGAGTGATCTCTGGAAGACATAAGCAGATTATCTCACGCCCTGCTCCCAACACTCCATGGGTAGCTTCTCATCACACTTAGAACAAAATCCAAGTAAGACCCAAATCTTAGTAAGATCTTTTACAATTTGGCTCCTGCCACTTGGACAACCCCTGTCCCCACACCACTCTCCCTCTCTCACTGCGCGGCAGCCACATGGGCATTCTTGCTGTTTCTCAAACGCACCAGGCACATTCCCAGCGCAGGGCGTTTGCGCCTCTGCCTGCTGTGTCCTTCCTGGACGGTCCCCATGGCGTACTTTCTCCCCTCTTTCAGCTTCCTGCCCAAACATCTGATCTTCAGGAGCCGCCTCCCCTGACCACATGCTCTATCCCTTTTCCTGCTTTATTTCTTCCTGGTTGCATTTTTAACTGAACGCACCCTGCTTAAGCCTGTATTTTAGTTACTGACTGGCCAACTGAAACAGAAGCTTCGCGAGATCAGGGACCCACCTTACTGTTGCATACACAATTCCCCGGACAGCGCCTGCATACAGGAAGCTCTCAGAACATATTTGACGAATGAATGAATGACTTGCCAAATGCACTGAGGGCAAACAAGTGGCTATCCAGCAGATTTCCATGCCCACCTGTCCTCACACACTTTTCACGTGGAGGGAGATAGAGATGCCTTGTGGGTCGAGGCAAGACTCAGTTCCTTTCGTCCTCCCGCCTAATGGGGGAGTCAAGACTCTGCAGGCCCGGACTCTGTGAGCCCGGATGCAAGAGCAGCTAGGCGGCCTTCTCTATGGTCTCCCTCCCCAGTCCCCTCCTCCCCAGCGCCCGGCGTGCCTCTATGGTTCTTCCTGTCATTAGTCGGGAGGGGGCGCTGTGCGCAGGCGCGAGGTGACGCCGCGGCAGGGCCGGAAGGAGTGCAGCTGCGGCCTCGGCGACTGCGACTGAGCTGTCGGCGGCCGCTCCTGGCGACTAAACGCCGCGGCGGCGGAGGCTTCAGAGCCCGCCTCGCCAGCCGGCGAATTGAGTGGCGAGTAAGTGTCGGCTGCGGGGCGCTCCTGGCCTCCGCGGCAGGCCCTGGGAAGCAAGGTGGCCTCTCCTCAGTGCGCCTCCATTAAGCTCCGAGGTGGGGGTGGGGACGAGGGCAGGGGCGAGGGCCGCCGAGCCGGGGGTCGCGAGCCGAGGCCCGGGCGTCCCTGGGGCCTGGATGGGCTCCTCTGAGCCCCGTGAAGCGGGGGCCAGCGGTGAGGCAGGAGCGACAAAGGCGCTGGGCGCCCGGGCGTCCCTTTCCCATCGCTCCCTCCACTTCGGGAAGTTTCGTGGGCCGTCCCTCGGCCTGCTGCTGGGGGCTACAGCCCCGAAATGCCGAGCTTTCTTTGGTGGCCCCTTTATTTCCTTCATCTGGGCCCCAAGCCGCCGCGGGTGGCGGTGTCCGTGCCCCTGACCGCGGCCTGGAGAAGCGGAGGGAGATCGACTGTGTGATTCTGAACTCCAGCTCCAAGCGGGTGACGGCTAGTCGTTTCTAACCTTCCCCACTCAGTTCTGGAGGAGTGTCTTTCCGTGAAAGTTGGCGACTATTACCCACCACTCGTGAGGACACAGCAAGTGTGTCAAAACCCTTCTGCAGCGCGGATCGTGCTAGTCCACGCCACGTTCCTACAGCGCCTCGCATATGCCTGGGCGTTGGGCGGGGAACAAGGCCGATGCGCGCTCTTGCGAGGTGGCCCTCATACCGTATTGAACGGTGATCTGAAGCTTGGGGCAACTTGTAACCAACCTCAGAGAGCCTGTGATGTGCCAGTTACTGTTCTAGGTGCTGGGATTCCGATATAAATCACCTGGGGGCCTGTTAATCACTCCTACATTGTGATAAGTGCCCTTTTTTAGCAGTTTCCCTGAGTACTTTGATCACGCAAGGAGAGTACTGCTGAGAGGAGGGGGAGAAGACCAGGAAGGTTTTATGACACATCTCAATTTAGTAAGCTTGCTTGTAGAAAACAGCTAAGAAATGGCCTGGCTTTGCTTTAGGTTTTATGTCCATAATTTCTTGTGCTTGAGTATAGGGGATGGTGGTGAATTTGAAGAAATGGCTGGAGAGCCTAGGGCCAGATGTTGTATACCCCTGTAAACCTCATTAGAGGATTTAGATTTTTATCTTAAAGGCTAGCAGTGGCTAATAAAAGAGAATCCTTGAAGCCCCTTTGGAGTAGTCTAATAAAGTTGAGATATGAGTCACAGAGACTGAAAGTTTATGAAGAAGGATGGGTCAGAGCCTGTTGGCTAACTATCATGTGAGCTCCTATTTAATGTGTTTACTAAATTCTAGGCTTTACTATATTCTTGGTCTTTACAGGGGACATAATTAATTTTCACACCTGACAGTGTCATCATATCTACATTGTTAATAATAATAGAACAAAACATACAATCCTAATGTGCCAAACACTGTTTTAAGTATTTTCCATATGTTAGCTTTTTTAATCCTCTCAATGACATTGGCTTCATTATTATCTTTATTTTAAAAGGCAAGAAACTGAGGTGCTGAAGAATAACCTATCTAGTCACAAAGTTTGTAAGGTCAGAGCTGGAACTTGAACTCAGTTTAGTTCAGGGGTTCATGCCCTAATTATCCTGGTATACCTGTGATTGCTGTTTATTCAGAAAGTACTTCAGGAGCATCTACTTTGTGCCAGGCAGTGTGCTTTGTATTGAGGCTTTGGGAGCAAGTAAGACCTGTCTTCTGGGAACTAAAGTTTTAGCAGAGGGGAGACCAAAATTAACACATTAACTGCCATGTGAGTTGTATTTAACTCACGCTAGTTTTGAGCCTGGTGCCTCATGAAGCATGTATAACTCACACGTCTCTTTACCTTGGGAGCCTCATGGTGCACAGGCAAGCTGCCATGCTGTAGCATACATATTATGTGATAGGTGGTTCCTTGGGCAAAACTCTGCAGTTGGTTGGTAAAAATCTTACTTGATGTTCTTATTGTTACAATTAATAATTGACAGTTTAATTCTAAAAACGTGGATTTAATGAATAGAAGTCAATAAATTTTGTTTTTCTATTTGTGTTTACCTTTAAATTACACTTAAGCCTGACAAGTCAAGAAAAACACTTTACTATTAAGAACTAATTTTCAAGTTTTCACATTACTAATTTTCAAGTTTTTATGTTACTATTTAATTAAAAACATAGGGAACAATAAACAAATAACAATTTTTGATTAAATTAGAAAGGATAGTTTTGTTTTCAAAGTTTTTATTCTGTTTTCATAATAAAACACCATGGCCCCAAGGAAAAAATTTTTTTTCTAGTGTGGCAGTCAATGTGTTAAACATAGTTTCCTGAAGGCATGAAATTATCACTGTGGTAAGTTCTTTGAAGAAGTGAGGGATGTTTGATTAAACTGTGTGGGTGGGGAGGATATCTAGGAAATAGTGAGGAAAGGTTTTTCTCTGAGGAAGTAAAGAACTGAAGCATGAGTAGAGTTAATTTGGTCAAAGAGGCAGTGAAGAGGAGTAATCAAGCCAGGGAAGAGCCTGAAGTGGAAGAAGGGGCATTGTTACTGGTGGACGGTGAAGGGGGTAAGCTATGAGGTGAGGCTGTGTCAGTCATCAGGGGCCATAGGATGGCAGTGTTTTTGTAGGCTATGTAGGCAAGGATTTTGATTCTACCACGGTGAGATTTGTGGTTTTAAAAAAAATAACTCTCAATGCTATATATTAATAAAAATATGTCAGTGGGTGGAGCCTACAGGCTATACTTGGGATGAAAGGAGCAGAGTGTCCTGAGCTCTCAAAAGATGTGATTCTAAAACGATTGCTGAAAACATAGATTTTTACCCCTTGAGGATGAGGATGTACCTACTTATCTGTCCTAGTTTCCAAACCAATTTTCAGTTGACAGTTGAGGAAAATCTTAATGTTTTATGTTAAACTAGCCCACTCACTAAAGATTTTGAATTTAATTTTTGGTTTAAAAGTTTCCTATTGTGGAAAGACACTGATAACAGGATTTTTAGAGCTCTTTTAAACTCTGTTTAACACATTAACTGCCATGTGAGTTGTATCTAACTCACACTAGTTTTGACCCTTGGGCCTTGTGAAGCATGTGTAATTCGCACATCTTTTCACCTTGGGAGCCTAGAGAACTATTTTTCAAGTTGCCTAAAACTCAAGGACAGAAAACAATAAAAAAAATAACAAATTTTTTATTAAATTAGAATCGTTTTGTTTTTGAAGTTTTTATTCTATTTTCATAATAAAACACCGTGGCCCTAAGGAAAAAAAAAATGTTTTCTGGTGTGGCTGTCAGTGTGTTAAACTCTACAATAATTGTTTGCATAATTTATCTGTAATTACGGATGTTATTTTACTTCAGTTTCATTTTGTCTACATATTAAAGTTAACACACATTGTGTTTTGTTATTCTGAGCTCCTCATCTGCCTTGTTCTTCCTTGATAGCATCACTGTCTTCTAGTCACCTGATCTCAACATCTAAGTCAACTTTGACTCCTTCCTCTTGCCCCGATGGCCAATTACATACAAAACTCCCATTGGATCTAACTCTGCAGTTAGTATCTTGCTTTTTTTTTTCCCCGCCCCCTACATACTGTTATCTCTAGTTCAGACTTCACTGGCTCTTGTTTCCTGGCAAGCCAAGACATCCTACAGATGTCTCCTGTAGGCTGTCCTACACATTGCAGCAAGGTTAATTTTTCTAAAGAACAGCTCATTGTGTTGCTTCCCACTGGCTAGAAAATAAGATTTGATCTGTTTCAGTTATCCATTGATGTATACCAAACCATCCCAGAACTTGCTGACTTGATAACAGCAGTTTTATTTGTTGACAGTTTTGAGTTGAGATTGGGAAGGACTTGCCTGGGCCATTTATCTTTGGTCCATATCCTTTTAGCAGCAGTGGCCAGTACTACAGGATCCACTTCCAAGATGGTGTCTTCATTTATGTGCCTTGTTAGAGACTGCTTGAAGGCTGGGCTTAGCCAGCTCTTTCCCTCTGCATGTACCATCAGAGCTTTCTATGCAGCCTCTTCCACAGGGTATTTAGACTTCTTATCCTGTGGCTTTGGGAGCCCTGGGTAAAAGCTGCTGTCTTCTTAAAGGCTAAGTCCAGATCTTACACGGTGCTCAGTTTAGCTTGAATATGGCTGTCCCTGCTAAGCCTTCCCTGTCTGCTTTCCCCCAACTGGAGTAGTCTCTTTATTCCACAAGTGACTTTATAGTGGACTTAATTTTGTGCATATTTTCTCTTATTGATGGAACTCTGAGTTCTTTGAAGCAAGGTCCATGTGGGATTTTTTTTGTATTCCTTATGATGTATAATAAACTCTTCTCATATAAAAAGTATAAAAATCTGTTAAATCACAAATTGTTATATAAAATGACAGTACAATTGTCCCTCCATATTCACGGGTTTTATAACTGACTGTATTTTTGTTATATTGATTTAATATTGATTATTAGCACAGGCTTATAAAGGATGGCCATCCAAAGAATGGTTAAGATGAGCAACTAGTACTTGAATGGAAAACAATAATGATTTATAGACACTTAGAAAACATGCTAGGAAGAGGTGTTACAGGTGTGTCAAGTTCTTTCAGCCCAGCTCTGCTTTGCCCATTTGGGAAGGCAAAGGGACTAACTCATTGAATTTGAAAGTCTTTTATTACACCCAAATCATTGTTGCAAAAGTGACAAGCTTACATATTTATGGAAATTATTCTGGAGGGCAAGGACACTACAAAACTCCAGGATCATACAGTATTATTTTAGGAGCACATGGAAGGAAAAATGGAGACGCAACATGACTAGAGGAGTGAGAAGAAAATGATTGGTCAGAGACAGATTCAAGCATTCTGGCCATGAGGAAGTGAAGGTACAATTTTGAAAACCAGAAAACTGGGTGAGAAAAGCATGGATGGGTCCTTTTTTTTCCTGACTTTGTTTTCCAAATTTTCTGTATTGACAGTACTTGGTAACTGAAGGAAATCCTAGTAAACTTGTTACTTA